AAGGCTGTTACAATAGGTATTGCAAGATGAAGACCCTTTAATTACTTTTAAAAAGGAAGTTCATTTTTAATGCAGAAGGAAATCATTTCATATTTCAGTATTATTTTATTAGCTTAGTGAGCACTTAAAATTGGGCCAGTTGCTTCCAGGAACCATTTGTGACTGTAACATGTGCCAAACAGCCTTTTACAGAAGACAGCATAAGAACAGTGTGGCCCTAATGCATCAGTACAGCGTTTTGTAAGGATGACTCTGAAAAGAAAGTTTTTCTTTTTAATTATGCTATTGTAAGAGTTTGCTTTTTCCTGAAAAGACCGCAGAAAGTTGCTACTTATCTTTGCCCAGTTATTAAATGCTTTCCTTATCTAAAAGTTGTAATGAATTTCTTTTTTTTAATTTTTACTTATTCTTTATTGTGAAAATACTGTACAGAGGGGTTACAGTTAGATGGGCAAGATAATGAGTACATTTCTTTTTTTTTTTTTTTTGGTCCGGTCGTGGAGCCTGAACTCTGGGCCTGGGTGCTGTCCCTCAGCTCTTCAGCTCAAGGCTAGCGCCCTACCACTTGAGCCACAGCGCCACTTCCGCGTTTTTTTGCATATGTGGTGCTGAGGAATCGAACCCAGGGCCTCAGGCATGCAAGGCAAGCACTCTACCACTGAGCCACCTTCCCAGCCCAATGAGTACATTTCTTAACAAGCATTGTAGCCTCCTCCTTTGTTTCCCCTTCCCATCCCTTCCTAGCCTCCCCCTCCACCGCCCCTCCCTAATCCCCCACCAAAGTTGTAAAGTTCGTTTTTGACCTGACAACTTGTACTTCTCATTGTTGCAATGGGAATTTCTTTTTATAATTTTATTGTTAAGATGCTGTACAGAGTGGTCACAGTTATGTGAGTAAAGCTATGAGAACATTGCTTGTCGATCACTGTTACCCCTGCCCTTGTTGTCCCACTATCCCTTCCCTTCCTCAGCTCCTACGCTTCTCCCCACCCCACCCAAAGTTATACGGTTCCTTTCCAATATACTGTCCTGTGGGTATCCTTGTTGCAATGGGTCACCCTGTGTCCTTGTTTCAGAATTTTGTTATTCCCCTTCCCATCCCCAGATTAAACATATGTATATACAAGACAGAAGGTACCAAAGTCAGGTACATGTGAGGAAGTTTTCTTCTAGGGTAGACTATATTGCTTAGGACTCTCCTCTACCTGCTTGAGCAGCTTTCTTTCCCTCACAGTCCACCAGTCCACAGTCTCTGATGCTTCCTTAACCCTCCCGTTTCTACTAACTTTACTTTGTAAAGTATGTTATATCCAATTTCGCTGAAGCTAGAATTTTGTTTAACATAGAGCTGAAATTAAATTATTAACTAATGGGAACTGATTTAGAAAATGAACACACACACAAAATTATATGTATATATATTATATATCAAATGGTACCAGTGAAGATTATCAGTAGTGCCTTAAAGGATTATTAGTAGTGCCTTAAAGGATAATTTTCTGTCTCATATATATATATATGATAGATATGACCTCTATATACATATACTCTATATGATCTATATGTATATATAGATCATGTATATATAGATATATCCATATATATCTATATATACATCATATATTAGATATAAAGAGAGACTGATATATAGACAATATATAAATCATATATATTATATAATATATTAAGGCACTAATGATAATCTTTGCTGGTGCCATTTAATAAAAATGAGCTTATTTTATGTTATTTTCTGTTCCCACTTCTTCCACATCCTTAAGTATTTTTCTACAACTCCACTGCATGTTTTCTATGTATGCATATGACACAATTTAGATGATAACTGTATGTAATGCTGTATTTATGAGTAATGTTTACATTTGTAGTTGCATGAATATAAAAATGCATGAATATATATACTGTTATTATCTACTAAGGTGAATCTGTTGAAAGATCAACATTCATTTCTTTGGAGTATATGTTTTAAAAGAACCTTTGCATGTGAATGAGGTTGAGGATTTTACAGAGGAAGAATAAATGACTTTATGGGGGGAAAATGGTCCCAAAGTATAAACTACAGCCAGGGGCAAGTTTTGTCTAGACTCTGCATATGGTATCACCTCGAATCTTCCTTCCTGTAAATTAATTTTCAAGGGATCTAGTATTTTAATTGAGAAGGGAATTCTAGAGAAAGCCCCTTACTATGCTTTTGGAGAAAAAGAGGGTAAGAAACTGGAAGAGAGCAAGATAAGTTAGTTCATTGTTTCCAGCATGCCAAACTATGTTGCAAAACATCATATGCCTAATAATTTCATAGATTAATTAAAATAATATATTTAAGGTTCATTACTAAGATGTGGGGGCAGGTATATACTAATTTAGCTTATTGTCATAATAAACGCAGAATTTTTTTCCAGTGGCAAAGAGCATGCGAGAGGTGTGCTGTGTGGAGACTGAAGTGGTTTTGATGGTGAATGGATATTGAAGGAGCTTTGGTTTCCTCATTTTCTAACTCTAGTGTAAACAGATTTATGATTGATAATACCAAAGCCTTGTTTTAAGAAAATTTCTTTATTAGTAATTGTATGAAGATATAAAAAGCAAAAATCAATTTCTGATTTATCATTGTCATTTTGGAAATGACAAAACTGAAATATGAACTAGGACATCATTGACATGATGGAATAGGAAATTTATGCATAGTTGCAATTTAGTAAACTGATAATATGAATAAAATAAAAAAACATTTTCGAGGAAGCATGGCACATATAACAATGTTTAGATTCTTATTAAAATCTAACATACATTAACATATATGCATTAATTGACAGAGTAACATTGGTATTTCAAGGACATTTATTTTTTCTTAAATTGAAGTTTTTCTTTTTTTTCTTAAATTGAAGTTTTTCCTTAAATTTAAGGTAGTCCATTTCTATTTTTTTCAAATGGACATTGATCAGTCAGTAGTAATTCTACAAAAAAGAAAATGTTCACAATGTACAAAAGTGAAGTATTTAATATGTAGTGTTTTGTTAGGTTGATTAGTTGCTCTTTCTCAGTTTGGTTTATCATTTATTAGTGGACATTCTAAGATTAAAATAAATATTCTTTAACTCTTAAATGTAAGTTTTAAGGAAAATGAAAAATATTTGCCAAATGCTTCAATTTCATTTTTATTCAACTGGGTATGTAGTGTTATTTTAAGTAAAATTAAATATGTTTTCTTATATCACATATTATTGAGGAATTATGCCTTAATCTTTTTTTTTTGCAATGTCAGTCAGTTTGGGGATGAAGACATTTCTAGCCATATTTAAATTAGCAAACTAGAAGCTAGATTTAGTTGGGTCTGTGTTAAAATTTCCTATTGGCATAGATAAGTACACACATTTTTATGACAGTTTATTTTAACTCTTCCATTTGGATCTGAAGAAATAATTTTTTTCTTATGCTAGTAATCTTTGATTTTTAAATTATGCAGTGGAAAGGAATCAACATGTGAGAAAAGAAAAGAATTGTTTACTTAAGGGTAAAGCAGATCAGAAATAAACCATGTCATCCTTTTCAGTTCCTGTTTATGCAGCAGGAAACTTCTTTTTTAAAAATAACAAGATACATTTCTCCTGGAAAGAACTAGAAAAAAGAAAAGGATGGCTCACATACACACACACACACACACACACACACACACACACACACACACACACCGTTTTTAGAATTTCTGTGTACATTGTTTTAGAGTCTATGATAGAAAAGTTTTCTTAGCTCTGTAAAGAAGACATAATATGACACACATTTACCTGTTAGTAGATGTCCACTAAAAACTCAGAATGATTAAGGAGAATGACCACTGTGCTTGTAAATCATTCTAGGTGTAAGAAGACTCTGTGACAATTTTAATTGTATTGGCTTTACATAAAATAACACAATTCCTTTATAGCTACTATCACTTCCCAAATTATAAATCTGCATAATTCTTTAGCATTATTTAAAGAAAATCATCATTCTTTTAAATGAATGGTTGCTTTCAATTGGTCTTTAGACGTTAAATAGTTTATAATTCAGCCTCTAATCTTGTCCATGTATACTACAATTTTAGCCTTATCTGCTACAGCCTTGAAAGATTTATATTGACCTTGGTGTCTTCTTTGTATTGTGTCTTTTTGTTACAGTTACAAAGGTGAAAAAATTCAAAACGTATTATCTAAAATATGCCCTCTTGGCATATTGATTATTTTAAGCTGCAGGCACTTAAGAAACAGCATATACAGGAAGCATCTCTGACCTCCCTTTCTCTTTCTACCTGAAAGAAGGCCATAAAATTTCCCCTAATAAATAGTCCCTCCCCACTGTGCCAGGAAGAGTATTCTTATCATTAGAAACTCTATATAGAATTCTAAGCTCTCTTAAGAACAACTAAGCATCTATCCAACTTGACATCCAAATTTATATGTCACCACTATAAAATGTCTTTTACATGTTTCAAAATACTTTGAAAAAGGAAGAGTATTGCTCTGGACTGAGGGAATTATCAGCTCTGCTCAGTGTTATAAAAATTTAATGACAATAGACATAGTGAAATATCTAAACATTAAGTTGGGTACGAAATCAATTAAGCGTGGTGTGTTCTTTCATTTTCATAAACTGCTTTTCCTAGGACTTAGTTTTATTTTATCAAGAATATTTAAGATTTTGACCAAGAAGTTTTAAAATTTTGTTTCATATTGCTTGATTATTAAGTCTCAGTGATTAGTCAGTCCCCATAATATATCTGTATTTAAAGGACAGCCTTTGGGATTGAGCTAATGAATTAAAACAGACTGTTTCTTATGTGTAACATATGATTTGCAAACAATAGTCTAGATATAATACTGTACTTATTTTATTAAACCAGAATGTGTAAATGATGTATTTCAGAATGTAATCCAACACATGAGTTTATTTATTCAGCTCATTATTTGTGTGTTTGTATGTATGTTTGTGCCTGTGTGTATGCCTTACAGCTGTTATTTCAAGAAACCAAGAAGGGCCAGGAGAAATGGGAAAGGCTGTGCTGATTCCTAAAGATGACCAAGAGAAAATGAAAGAGCTGTTTAAAATCAATCAGTTTAACCTTATGGCCAGTGATTTGATTGCTCTTAACCGAAGTCTGCCGGATGTAAGATTAGAAGGGTAAGTTTACATGTGTCACATAATTCTATATTTAAAAATCACCATATGTCAAAATTTCAGAATCTCAACTCAGATCACACTCACTCTAGAACAGCATCTTCTGACAATTATGACATAAGCTAGAAATTATTGTGCATTCATGTCTTAATAAATAGGAAGTTTTTTTTTTCTGACAGAGCTAACAGGGATTTTTTTCATGAGATCTTTGCTTTGCTTTCTATTGTCAAATGGAAAACACACTCTTTGATAGGTTATTTGCCTTCATGCACAGAATGTTCTATATACTTTGATTAAAAGTGTACTCTGGGCTCTGCCAGCATAAGATAGCCAATTGCCTATGATTCTTTGACCTGCTGGAATTATTTATTATATATTCTAATAGTTTATACTGCTGTTGATAATTAAAATGCTCAGTTATACCAATGATGGAAAACATTTTCAATTAGAAATTATTTGCATGAAAAATGATGTTGAAAATTCAAGTTATATGCCAGGTGCCAGTGGATCATGCCTGTAATCCTAGCTACTCAGGAGGCTGAGATCTGAGGATTGCACTTCCTAGCCAGCCCAAGCAGGAAAGTCTGTCTGTAAGACTCTTATCTCCAGGGCTGGGAAGGTATCTCAGTGGTAGAGTGCTTGCCTTGCATGCCTGAGGCCCTGGGTTTGATTCCTCAGCACCACATAAGCAAAAAGAAAAAAGCCACAAGTGGCGCTGTGGCTCAAGTGGTAGGGCGCTAGCCTTGAGCTGAAGAGCTGAGGGACAGTGCCCAGGCCTGGAGTTCAGGTCCCATGACCGGACCTCCCCCCCCAAAAAAAAAAAGACTCTTATCTCCAATTAACCACCAGGAAACTGGAAGTAGAGCTGTGGTTCAAATGGTAGAGCACTTGCCTTGAGCTGAAAAGCTGAGGGACAGCACCCAGGCCCAGAGTTCAAGCCCCATGACCGATCTAAAAAAAATCAAGTTATATGTGATTTATTATGTTATGCTCAAGATAGTTAGACATATAAAATAGATGTAATAAAATCAGAATAATTAATAGATACATATAGTCACTACGAAGCAGTCTCTTGTCATTGCAAAATATATTTTCTGAGTTTATAAAATTCCAAAGTTTAAAAATAAACTTATGGATAAATTTCCATGTAGATAGATATAGGTTTTCTTTAAGCATAACAAATGCATAATGAATTTAAAGAGCTTTCTAGCAATGATAAGCTATATTTGCATTACTTTGTTCTGATATTAATGACATATGCTAAATGCATATGTTTTCTTTCCTAATTTATTTCAAATATGACCAAAATGCTACTAACATACCAGCAATTCTTAGTGTTAGAAGATTCATTTGATAGCTAATTGGTTCCTTATATCACTGCATATTTTTGTGATGTCTATTGCATGTAAACTACATGCTCTTTCAACATTGAATGTTAACATTGTGTATTGTAAAGTTTGAATAAGTTTTCATATAATTCTGTATGTATGTATACTTTTATTTATTTAAACACATTTAAATTTTAAAGATATAAATTATCATGTATTCAAAATAATTTAAAGCCATTATGTCTGCTTGTCTGTCTGTATGCATTTATTTATTCATTTAGTGATTCTTGGCTTTAAACTCAGGACTTGAGATTGCTAGTCAGGCATTATGCCACTTGTACCAGACCTGTAGCCCTAATTTTGAGCATTTTAGATGCTATGCTTATTATGTTACAATCTTGCATTTATTTTGTTGCTTTATATGGCATGATATGATACAATAGGTAAGTACAATATGTACTCAAGAAATTGATGTAAAGACCAATTTTAACTAAAGTCATTTGAATCTATCATAATGTTAATAAGTTAAACTTTTAATAGGTCTAAGATTGCCAAGGGAAAAGCAGTCTTGAAATGGTTGGAAGAAAAAAATGGAGTCTTCATAAAGTATACAATTAAAATATTTGTGTGCAGTTAATAAATCTTATTTTAAGATCATTTAGCAGTTAAATACTTGAGTAATTAAGCCTTGAATTATGGAACAATTAAGTATTTAGGTAAACTAATTTGAGTAGCATAAATAATTATAAAAATCAAATACTTGATTCTGAAGTTTGCAGTCTACAAACATAGCACTGTTGAAATAAGTAATTTTCAGGTTATTTTCCTGTTATACCACAGTGCATGTCCTTAGAAAGAATAGTAAAATACTGCACTTTCAATGAAATCATAGAATATATGAGGATGACTTCAAACCCTCATGAGTTGACTCAATTGTGCATCTGCCTGTGAATAACTAATGTTGAAGCCCCACAATGAGTCACATCTAAACTGCCTTTGAAAAGTTGAGACATGTGTTGATACTTAATTCATACAAACATTTATTTTTTTGCAATTTATTAGCCTGTTTGATTTTACTGTTTTATAGTTATATCTAAAAAATATGAGGGCTAATAGGGCTAGAAATTATGCTCATACATTAGCACCCTAGGAATAAAAAAAGAGACATAGTAGACTTGGATATACATAATTGTAGAGTTTGCCTAGCATGATAGAGGAGTCCTAGGTTGAATTAGAGCACCAAAGAGAGGGGGTGGGGAGGGAGGGAGAGAAAGAGGAAGATGGAGAGTATCAGAGGCCAAGATAGAGACATAAGAACATGAGTTAGTTTGAGGACCATTGAAGATGTGAACAGAAGAAATACAAGTAAATTTCTGGTTTCCACCATGAGTACACTAGAAAAAAATTACTTGGAGGCAATTTGACTGAAATGTTTAAAGCAAGCATCTTCTCTCTCTACCATTAGCAATTCATTGAATTGGAAGTTAACAGTAATCATTGAATGAATATTTATTAATATAGCTACAAGCAATTGAAGCAAAATGCTAAAGTTCTTTGCATTTACTTATATTCAGACATTTAATAGCACTTCAAATACTGGTATTGAGTTATTTGAAGGTCATAATGCAACTGGTATTTAAATATATTTTATCAGGAAAAAATGAAAAATAGGAAATTTATTTTAGCTGTTTATATCCTAGAAAAAATAAGTGCCTCTTGCATATGCATGCTTAAAACCTGATAAAGAAAATAAGACTCTAGCAGTTATGTGTTATTAGTGAAAGAAGAGCTTTTGCATACAAATTTTGAATAAGTTGCTCTCAAGGGACAAATAATTCATTTACTGTATAAAATAGAAATAAACTATACTATGTATTTTTGTTTGCCCAATCTCAAAAGATTACCTATCTGTTTATATCAATTGCCTTTTCCATAAATTAAAGTATGATAAATGTAGCATTAATTGAACAAAGGAGAAATGGAAAATGAGACTGTTAATTGGATTTCTGATCTCTGTTCCACATCTTTTCTTTTTAATTTGAGAATTACTACAACTTTCATAGGCAAAATTTTTGCCTGTGAAGATAATTGCAACTTCTGTAATATTGTAACTTACTTTCCCATGTATGGAATTTCATCACCCAAATTTTAAGTGGCGTATAAAACATGTGAATGTATCTGTTTCACCAAAGTGATGCATAAAAGTTTTCTTTCTAATAAAAAGGATGTCTTGACATATTCTTAGAGCCATGTGTCACTTAAGACAGAAAGCTGCCTTCCCATACTCTCTCTCTATGCAAGTTAATTTTCTAACATTTATTTTGTAATTATGTGTGTGTGTATATATATAGATACATCAAAATACATATAACACAAAACAATCTTAGCTCTTTGAAATGTGTAAGTTAGAGAAGAGGACTATTGTGGACATGATCAAATTTGCATACCTCCATGTATCTTCGTGTATATTTCTCAGTATATGACAATGAGGAAAGGAAAACAAGTTAATAAACAAGTTAGGAAGGATTGCAAATAAAAGTACAAACAATAGCTCTATCTATCTATCTACCTACCTACCTATCTATCTATCCATCTATCTATATCTACTTTTTCTTTTAATAATTTTTATTGCTATTGTGATTATATAAATTTCACAATATTGTGAGATAGTGATAGTTAAAGTCAAAAACACATTTGAACCTTCATGAGGAAAATTGTCATTATCATGGTCTATAAAGTTTGTGAATTCTGAGCTTTGATAATACAGCTATTTCTTCCACATAAGGTGGTATGTACATTATTTTCATTTTGCTTATTGTTCAATGTTCCCTCTATCCTTCTAATTCTCTCTCTCCCATTGCTGCCCTTGGGTTGCTTAATTTGTTTTCATCACTGTCCAGTGCAACTTATGGGTCCCTCTGTTGTATGTTTCCCCTGTTTCCCTCTGATTGGTGTCCTTCTTCGAGTTTCCCTCAGATGTGCACATATATATGATCAACAGCATGGGATCATTTAGTAATGATACAACAAGATGAGTGAAGGTCCTTTGTTTTTGAGTCTTGTTTACTTTATCATATCTCCTTACATTTGTATTTAACATCCACATATTAGGGAGACCATGTGCCATTTATCTCTTTGCTTTTGGCTATGCTAGGTCTTTTGCTGTTCCATATGAACCTTTGAACTGTTTTCTCTATTTCATAAAGTACCTCATTGGAATTTTAATGGGAATTGCATTGAATTTGCATATCAATTTTGGCAGTCTGGCCATTTTCACTATATTGATTCTGCCTATCCAAGAACCTGGAAGGTCTTTCCTCTATGATTTCTTCCTTTAAGCTTTTATAGTTTTCATTAAACAGTTCTTTACATCTTTGACTAGATTAATTCTAAATACATTACTTTTGTTGTTATTGTGAATGGAGTTGTTTCTTTGATTTCCCTTTCTGCTTGTATGTTGTTATTGTACAGAAAGGCAACTGATTTTTGTGGGTTAATTTTGTATCTTGCTACTTTGCTGAAGTATTTGATACGTTCTAAAAGATTGGGGGTGGGGGTTTGGGGATCATTGAGTTATAAAAGCATGTCATCTGCAATATACAAATCACTTTAGTGTCTTTTTCTTAACTTATTGCTCTGGCTAAGAATTCCAGAACTGTATTGAAGAACAGTGGA